ACTATTGACCAGGCGCTGACTCTTCCTCCTCCAGCAGCAGAAGATTAGCATCCTCTGTCTCAACCTGAGAGGGAGATCTTTATTATTCCTGCTTTTATTTCCTGTCTGACTGTTACATAAAGTGAGTGTGAGTGAAAACTTCAAATAAAAAAAGAGCTAAAAAAAATGTATCAAGAGCACTATATCAATTATTATCATTCAACTTTATAAATTTAAAGTCAGCTGGTGAGATAGTCAACTGAAGTCCAATCATGATCGAGGGAAAACAAAAACAAAAAGGTTAACTACTTTAACACTAAACCAGTGTTAAAGCTGACTCAAGTTTCATTAGATTTTAAGGTAAAACTAACAATAATGAATCTGCAATAATTAAATATTTTCTATTAACACACTTAAATGGATTTAGAAATGTTAAATTGTGGATACATTTATAATTGATTATATATATTGAGTATTTTATTAATACATATAGAGACATACAGTAGGAGGCCGACAGAGAGAAACTGTATAAAGTATAAATAATCAAATTAAATTATATTTTCTTAAACAAACTAGTTGAAACGATTTTATTGGAAGTATTTCCTCTCATATTCTGTGAAGATTATCCAAAAGCAGAGTATTGTTTAGGTATTGTGTTTTGTTTTTTACATATACACACATACATTTATAATCAGAATAAAAGATCTTAAACAAAAGCATTATAATGTTTATCTGTCACACAGTTTGCTGGCCAACTTTTAACCTCGTTGCTGCCTTTGAACTGCACTGCATTATACCTGCTGAGGAAGACCATTACATGTGGCTGAAAGCTTCGCAGACACCAAGTAAATAGTTTTTTTATTAATTCTGTACTTTTTCTTTAGTTGTATTGCACTCTCCTCTCTTTACAAATATACACAAGAGGCCTAAATCTGTTAATAAATGTAGATTGTTTAATAGAACAAAGTGTCACGGACAAGAAAACACTAAATATGTAAACAGGAAATAATCTGCTCAAAATTCAAACTTCATTTCACTTATTCTGGTTTATTGTACAGTTTTGAATATAATATGAAATATCCACACACACACACACACACACACCCACACACACACACACACACACACACACACACACACACACACACACACACTAACCTCTGGCTGCAGATTATTAATTCAAAGACTCAAACAAAGAGTCAATATTAAAATTAATAAATAAATAAAATCATCCAGGCAGAAAACATGAATCACCACCGAGAGGCTGATGTACAAATTTAAGAGAAAACATGGATGCTTTCCTCCTCACATCCTTCCTTCACCACAGATAACGTGTCTCCCCCCTCTCTCTTCCTCTCTCTCTCCCTCTCCCACTCTCTCTTCCTCCTCTCCCACTCTCTCTCTCTCTTTCTTTCTCTCTCTCACTCTCTCTCTTGCCCCCCCTCCTCTCTCTCTCTCTCTCTCTCCTCTCCCTCCCTCTCTCTCTCTCTCTCCTCTCCCACTCTCTCTCTTTTGCTCCCCCCTCTCTCTCCCCCCTCCGAGCTCCACAGCTGTACAGGAAATCAGTCATCCACCATCCACTGCTGTCGCCATGGCAACACAGAGAGGGGGGAAATCCATTCTCCGTCTCTCTGTCACCTCCTCCTCCTCCCCTCCTCCCCTCCTTCTCCCTGTCCTTTCTTTTGTCTTGTTGATTTAGGTGTAGCTCCATTTGTATTATTATTATTTTTATTTAAATTTAAAGGTCATCGTGTTCTGACCCTAACGAAGCGTCTAATGACTGATTAATTCCTGGAGGTTTCTCCCGTTTTACATCCCTACTTCCATACATCTTATCTCCTCATCTATGTGTGTGTGTGTGTGGGCGATCATTTGAGCCGATTGTTTGAGAGTATTAGGTGACAGTGTGTCTCCAACAGTAGTGGGTGACCTCTCCCGTAAATCCCGTGGGGCATTGGGGCAGAACAGGCGGGGCGGCTCGAGCCGGCAGCTGCCTGGAGGAGCCAGATGGTCGCAAATCAGAAATGAAATCCAGCCTCCCCCCCTCTCCTCCGCCGCCACCGCCAGTCGTGATAACCCCACCCCTCATGCACACACACACACACACACACACACTGCTCGTACAGGATCATTTGAGCATCCTTCATCCTCCTCCTCCTCCTCACCCAAAATCACAATTGTTGAGGGAAAACCTTGTTAAACATGGTCGCATTTTAACCTAAACTAAAGGATTGGGCGACAAAATCTCACAACACATTCATGAAAACCTGGTGAATCTGAATCCAAGGTAGTTTCTCCCAGTTCCTGAAAAGCTGACGTGTATTTCAGCTCCATCCTCACACAAAACAACAGTGTTTTTATGGTAGAAAAAGCTCCTTTTTGTTAGTGATATTGAGACTGCAAGTCACCACATCTGCCTGTGGAAGTGGATTAACGGCACTTAATAAACCAGCCTATTAACCAAAACAGCTGCACTGACACCACAAGGTTCAGAGATGATCCCCAGAGCCGATAATAAAGCATAGTAATCAGATTACAAATAAACAAATCTCTGGATTTATCTCTTCTCCAGCAATGGAGGGATGGAGGGAGGGAGGGAGGGATGGGTCTCGCTGTTACTGTCTCTGCTGATGCTCAACAAGGCCTGAACCCGCTAACGTAGCAATGATGCCCGACCAGGTGTACTTGTACCTCAGGGGGGCAACTGCAGTTAACAGGAGGTACGGGAAAACTGGTTAGCAAGAGAGCAGAGTTGAAACAGATAATAATGGATAAACAATTGAGATAGTTAGCTAAAAGTAATTGACAAATGGTTAACACTTAGCTCAAATTAAAGAGTTGGAATAGCTCAAAATAATGGATAAATGTTTAACATAGTTAGCTTTAAAAAGGCTAACGGATAAACAGCTGAAACAGTGAACGTTGGCTATTAGTGACGGATAAATGGTTGAAGCATCCAGCCTCTTCCACTCCAAGTAATATGACCGTGAACATGAACAAAGCACTGATGATTCAACAGTATGAACACATAGTGCAACAGTAATATTTTCATATGAATAGTGGTAAATAACATCCAGTTTGTGATCCATTCATAAGAACAAATTTGGAACACAGCGGATGGCGCCAATGGAGAGCAAAATGAGCTCATCTGCTTTCGCCGCCGGAGGGACGTCGGGGCTAAAAAGGTTGAAAACGACTGGCTTAGGGGACCCAGGAAGGGCTATCACAGATCAGTGTGGTATCCTGGTGACAGAGGCTTCCTGTGTTCGCCTCCACAGGAACCATGACTCATTAATTCTCCATCTTCCTCCTCCTCCTCCTCATCCACTCTCTCTCTCTCTCTTTCCTTGGATGTGTACTGTCACTGTAAGTTTCACAGAGAATAACATCAGCATGAATGGAGCTGAGGAAAATGTGATTCGCAGAAAACATGACGTTCGGTGCAGACAGTAGGGGGAAGATGAGTAACATTTGAGTTTACCTGCGGGCAGATTGTACCGTACGCTCACACAAACATGGATGCATAGATACGCACGGACATTTGAACACGTGCATATACGTACAGTCGGAAAAGCTAGAAACCTCGCATATAGTGTACAATATTTTTTATTTATATAAAATGTAGAGTGGAGTGGATGATGGCGGTATGTTTTTGAGAATTTCCCAGTCCTGTCAGGATTTTTTCTGTTTTCTGCATTGTAGCATTTGCTAATTAGAATTAAACACAAAATACAGCTGAGGATGGCATTAATTATTCATTAACATTAGATTTACAAATATGCTAACATTACTAGAAACATTAGAGGACCAGTGTGTAGGAGTTAGTGGCCCAATCTAGAGCCAGTTTTGGGTTTGTCCTTTCTGGGCTACTGTAGAAACCAGTTTGTTCAACGTGGTGGCCTCCACAAAAGGCGACCCACAGAGTCTATAGATGAAAATGTCTCATTCTGAGGTAACAAAAACACAACAATTCTTATTTTCAGGTGATTATACACTAATGAAAACACACTATATTTAAGTTTATATATTTTATTCCATGTCTGCCAACAGATCATCCTCAATGTTACACTCAACCTTTAAAGATTGCCTTTTTTTTCCAGACAGAAGAGGGCTTTGCCTACTTCGTGAATCAAGAAATGCCTTACTAGTTATGAGCGTACATTTAAAGTTTTAAATTTGACAAAATGGCACCAAAAATAATGAAAAATCAATAACCATATTTTACTGAAATGTCTTAATTTATACAAATTCTGCTACATACGTATACAAACATACGGGACCAAAAACATAACACTTGAGGTTCAGGTAACAAAACCCCTTCTCATATACACACCAGCTGCATACACACACACACACACACACACACACACACACACACACACTTGATCTTGTTGATTTTTGCCATAAGTAAGCGTATCCTGTACATGCAGAAACTCCCGTACATAAACACTTAAACGTGAAAGAGCAACGTGTGCAGCATCCTGTTTGTTTGTGCGTGTTGTTCCAACGTCAGTGTGTAGTTGCTGGGGAGTGTCTCTCTCTCTCTCTTTTTTTTGTTTTAATCTTTGATGTCTTCACTGTAGTGGTATAAAGATTAAAAAGCCTCAACTCTGGCGGGGCATATGTCGCGTGTATGCAATGCAGGATGTTGTTGTTGTTGAGGGTTGAATGAATTTCTTTGTCATGCAATGTCTTGATTCATACACAGTCGCCTTCATTTGGCAGAAACGTGACTTAAATGTGAGCTAAGAGGAGGGAAAATGAGCAGCCGAAAAACAGCATTCAGGGACCAGTATGGATATTTATCAAGGCGGAAATCCAGCTCGTTCAGACTGTCAGCTCTCCTGGTATGCATTTGTTTACTGTAGGTGTTTAGACAGACAGTCAAGGCTTTTTCCTGTGGACCTCTGGGAGACGGAGGGAGTGTGTCCAGATAGCAGAAAAGAGAAGACAGAAAGAGGGAGGGAGGGACAAAGAGGAGGATCTTGCAGCCTGAGCGTTTGGCTTAAAGGGTGGAGACTCAGCAGCAGCGAGGAGGGAGGCAAGGGAGGATCTCAGCTGGAGCAGAGAGGGGAGAGGCATACAGAGAGAGGAGCGTGTGTTGTGTGGATGTACTCGCCTGCCTCGCTGACTGACTGACTGTGTGTGTGTGTGTGTGTGTGTGTGTTTGTGTGTGTGACAGACAGACAGAGAGAGAGAGACAGGGGAGAACGCGTGGATACTACTCCACAGGACTGGATGTGTTTGGCATCACGGACGACCACACACACAAAAAAACAGGTAGGATTTTCTTCTACCTTTTTTAAATTTTTATTATTATTTATGTTTTGGTGGCATCTGGGTTAATCACATCCAAACCAGGGTGTGTTCCAGAAGAAGAGGAGGAGGAGGAGGATGAGGAGGAGAAGGAGGAGGAGGGGGGTTTCATATCCACGCTGTCAGCGCTCGAGGGGCGAGATTGATGCCTCTGGCTGGTTTACATCATGGAATCCCCTCCTCCCTCTAAAAATCTCTTTAAAAAAAAAATGCTGTCAGGTGAGCTGCTGCTTTTATTTCATCTCATACTCTCCTTTCACACATTGTGTATATGTGTGAGAGGAATAAGGAGAATGGACTCCCCCTTTTTTTTCTTCTTTCTCCCTCCTTCTTCCTCTTCTTCCCTCAGGATTTGGGCAGATCTTATAATGTAGAGCCAGAGGAATTAAGGGCATCTGTTTCGGAGGGGGAGATATTTGCACGAGCAGAGGGGATGAAAAAGAGACAGAAAGAAGGGGGGGATGAAAAAGGGGGGAGATTGTGGCAAAGGGGGAAGGAAAGAGGCAGAAGGATCCCACAACCCTCCTGTGAGGTTTTCCAGCCTTTCTGAACTCTCTCGCCCTCCATACCGCGAGCGGAAAGCAGGCGACCACACACAAGGTCCATGTAGTGGTTGTATCAGGCAGATGGCCGGGAGAGGAGGAGGTGGAGGTGGAGGAGGAAGAGGAGGAGGGAGGGAGGGTTTGTGTTTTTATGTTGCTCATAGACAAATACAGTCGCTGACAGCGCCGTGCATTGGCAGGAAAACCGAGAAAACTGACGTGCTGTTTATCCCACTCCTAGCATCGTCACACGAAGGCATCGTCATACACAACTCACATTAAATCATCCAATCATGTGTGTGTATGTGTGTGTGTGTGTGGTTGTGTGTGTGTTACATACAAACGCACACAGCGATTCACAATTACGCAAGAACTGGCGTCCAAGGCGGCTCGTACTGTATCTCGAAGGCAAGCCGCTCAAGGCCACGGACTGTTTGACACACATCGATGTTAAGACTAGAAGAGCGGCTCGCAAAGTATCCAACGATAAACAAAGAACCTTGAGAGTTTTCTGGAATAGAGTAAGAAAAGCCGGAGAGGGAGTAAGAGAGGAATGATGGAAGAGAGTAAGGAGGAATGAGCAGCCTTCCACGCCTTATTGACGTCTTTGACCTCTCCACTCCCGTCGCTGCCTTCCGTCCAAGTCGGGCCAGATAGCGACGAGTTCTGGGCTGAGCTCCCTAAAAGCATCGCTCTTGCTGAACTCATCTCTCTGTGAACTTTCCTTTTACGACTTCAAAACTTGTTTCCCTGAGATGCACAAGGCTTCAGAGGGAAGGTAGCATGAAGTAGGAGGGATGTTGTTGCACCGTCAAAGGCTTCGACCTTTGTACTCGCTGCACTTGTTTGCTTCTGACTGTGTTGATTTTGGGTTGGAAGCTTATTCAACCATGCCGCGGTCTGTCTGGATGGAAGCATCCAGAGCTGTTAAAGAGTCTTTTGGGGAAATGGCCAAGGCCTTATCCAACCAAGAAAGTCCAAGTCAAGTCACAAGTTACAAGTCACAAGTCTGCCGGGTCAAAACATAAAACTTGCTTTAGGGAGTAAATTAATTCTCACAGCACTTATGTCTTCTCCAGACTCTTGTGACTTTGGTTGGACTCAAGTCTACAAGAGCTGTTTTCAAGTGTTTACGGGCAAGTACGAGTCTTGACCTACAAAGTCTCAACTGAAGTCTCGAGTCGAATCTTTTCAAATCTCAAAGGAGTCAAGACAGCTGTCATGCCCAAGTCAAGTTCCAAGTCCTTATTTTTGTGTGATTTAAGTCTGACTCAAGTCCAAGTGTCCAGAGTTGTTTTCAATTCCTTTGAACAAGTCTGAGTCAAGTATTTTCCAACCAAGTCTTAAGTCAGGTTTCAAGTCCTCACTGGCAACACTTGAGATTGAGTGTTTTTTTATTTCAAGTTTGAAGTCAAGTCTCACGGTGCTCTTTCAAGTCCCAAGTCTTGTCCAAACAAGGCTTTGAGGACAAAACATGAGACTTTCCAAATGAAGCTCCAGGTCCTTATTTTTGTGACTTGAGTCTGACTCTAATTCAAATCTCAAGTCTTCCAGAGCTGCTTGTTTTTGCTGAAAGTTTGATGCAAGTCTGAAGTCTTGAGGGCAAAACTTGAGAATGTAGTTCTAACAGCACAAGTTCTTGTCCCAAGTCCTCGTTCTGTAATTTAACTATGACTTTCTCATGAAACTCTGAAATCTCAAGTGTCTTCAGTCTTTAGGAAGACTCTCTCAGTAATCAAGTCGAAGTCAAGTCTCAAGTCAGCACATTTGTGACAGATGTCTGACTCGAGTCCAAGTCTCTTGGATCCTCCCCAATAATACACTTTCATTACTTCTGACTCGCTCCAATCTACAGTTGGAGCGAGTCAGAGGGTCGGAAACAGTCTGAACAGCACACTCACACTCTCAGCAGAATCTAAACAAGCCCGGATGTTTGTAATATTGTTAACAGCCCAGGAGTCTGGCCGTGTTATTCTTGGCACGCTGATTGATTCCAGAGGAAAAGTATGTTTATGCCTCCTCACTCAAGGCAAATACAAAAAAAAAGAAATCCCACCGATTCCGCACAGTTAAAGTGTTGGAGAAGAGAGCTTAATGTACACAAAAGCTGGTAAAACTATCATTTGTGACATGCGGGGAAGGAAGTTAACCTTTTAAATTTGGTGACTGCACTTCCAAATATGATTTCCAGAGAGAGAAAGAAGCTCCACACGATGGCTGGTTTCCTGCCAAAGTGGCCAGAGGAATTTAAAACAACCCCTCCCGCTCACAGCCAGAATTCACCAGCATTATTTGGCCGGTGGTTGGTGTTAATTTTCCACCCTGGTCACACAAAAACATGCTTTCTTTTAAAAGAAATATATGCTTCTAAAGTCTGTAGCTGCTCCTGTGACAGCAGTGACATGCATTGTTTCTACCCCACTAACTACACTGCAGTTACATAACGCACATATAAAAGGTTTTTAAACGCGAGTCTTTGAGGAAAATAAAACCACTTGGTCACTGCTTTAATCTAACAAAGAAGAAACATGCCGGGGCCTTGATCGTTTGATTTAATAAACATAATAGACCACATTTGCGCTCCCTGGAGCAATAAGCCTCCTCCCTGCTGCCTCCTTGACTCCCAGGGGATGCATCATTTCCTGGGCCACTGCCTTCTCCCCTCCCCCCTTCTGGGACCTAGATTAACCCCCCCCAAACACACACACACACGCACACACACCACAATCTCTAAGATGGCAGGATGGGCAGGGCATGCTGGGGGTGGCACAGATGTCCGGGCTAATCGAATATTCGCGGGTGGCGCGGGTCTGACCAGGAGGCAGTGGCACGAGGAAGGAAAGAGAAAGTGAGCTAGGGTTAACGTGTGATTTAATATAATACATTTAGAATTACACCTTAATGTGATTTTATTATTATGTTTGAATTGATGTTTCTGTACAAACCAACTATTATATTCCAAAATTAGAAAGATACTGGATAATTCACATGAGAGAGTTCTGTATTTCGTGTTTTTTCTGTCCTCACTGGTTTGAAGAGGGCGGGCTCTGTCGATGATTTGCCGTTTTGTTTCTTCTCATTCTTGTTGGTTATTTTGGTTTGGTTTGCAGTCAGTAGCGAGGGACAAATCTGTCCCACCGATGTCATTTTCAGTTCAGAACACAGAAAACAGAAACTTTTTTTAATGACAGTCAGTGAAATTGACGATGTAAGAGCTTTTATTTCTGTAAGTCGACTGAAAACAACTTGTACATTGAGCTCATCCACATTTGTTACTGTTTTTATGGCAGTGCTTCTGTTTTTCTGCTATCTTTATTTTGTAGTGTTATAGATACATACTTTTCATGAGCTTTAAAATGGCCTATAACTTAATTAATATGATGCTACTGTATACTGTAGGTAGGTTTAACATTTTACAAAAATCATGAATGTAACAGAACCACAAGCCTCCCTCACTCATACAGTATGGATCCAAACCACTGAGCTGCCATTATAGTAAAGAAACATGACTCTCAGGGTAGTAAATGTGCCATCATTATATCAACATGCTGTAAATTGCTGTAAATACTTAATGTAAGGCAAATAATATTTTCTTCTGATGTTTATACACACAGGTCAATCAATACAAAGTTCAGTTTATTTCAGGGATTGGATGCTAACAGATCTTTTTAAAAGAAGAAATGCAAATGGTTGTCATAGAAATTCGGTTTGAGGTTTTTTTTTTACATCCTAGGATACTTCGATAAGTTAATTAGTTTCACCACGCATCATAAATTAAAAACAAAAAACAATGAATAGTGGACAGAAATCATGAACAGACACAGATGCAACTCTGAAAGTAATTTAAAATAAGAGACAAAAAAAGAAGGAAGAAGAGGAAAGATGATGAAGAAACAACCTCTACCTCTTCTATTACTACTACATACTAATAATAATATACATTATTTGAGATTTTACAGCATAAAACAATGTCAGTTTTACACAGATATCATAATACAATACTGTTTTAATGAAGTACAGATGGTTTCTTTTCATTATGTTTTAATGTATCAAGTCTTTAATGTGTTTGTAGTGTCATTAATCATATTTAATATCTTGGATATACTACTGTGGGACTGACACTTGTTCCATCTTCCCGTATGAAGGCTGTTCGAGACCGTTACGACGAGAGCGTGGAGGTCGGCTCCAGGTCCAGGTCTGACTCCACGCTCGGAGCGCTAACAGAAATAGTGATGGAGAAGGATGCTCAGCTGTCACGCTCACCGTCAGCTCCCCTGACAATCACTGCCTGACAGCTCTGCTCTCTGTGTCCCATCTCTGCCTCTGTGTGTGCACAGGGAGGGGCGTCCTTTCTCCTGTTCAAGGGCAGAGATCCGTGCTATATTACATTCAATAGTCAATATCCTCTTGATCGTGTTCATT